ACGACATATTTTCAATTCCTCCACCTTATTTTGCTAATTCCCGCAAAATTTTTTTACTTAAAAAAATGCTCAAAAAACCCAGGCTGGAAAGCACCAGGCGGGCCGGTGCGAATGTGTGTTTTTGCAACTTTTCGTGCCGTAGCAAGACCCCAAGGAATCACAGTAACTAACCCTGTGACATACTGGCCCTCGAAATCCGGGAACTTATTTGCGCAGCTATGTGGTATGTAAGTTGTAGATGTCGACTTCAGTGACCCGAAAAATGGAAAGTTGCTGGTCGGAGAAAAAGGCCGCACTAGAAAAGTTAAATTTGAAATCTATTAGTCGCACTTATGAGCAGGGAACATCCCCTTAAAATTTAAGCCCTAAGCTTAGTAGTTTTTCCACCATTGTTTTCACGCGCCCATAAATGAATGCGGGACAGTTTTAAGCATCTGAATATGAAATCTTTTCATCATACATGAGTAGGGAACATTACCTTAAAGTTTTAGCTTTTTAGCTTTTTTCATTCCCGAGTTATGAATTTTCACGTGCCCGAACGCAAGACCCGGGCAGTCTTGGGCAGCTGAATTTGAAATCTTTTTTTCATACACGGGTAGGGGACATTACCCTATGGTTTCAGCTTTCTAGCTTTTCTCGTTCCCGAGTTAGCAGTTTTCAGGCCAAAACTTTCACGTGCTCGCACGCGAGGCCCTGACGTGCATAAGAGCTGATACCGTGGTCCTGGGATGGCCCCGGACAGACGAACACACATACACACATATACACACTGACAGGGTCGTTGCAATGTGTTTTTGCTGCCTGTTGCAGCGCTCTAGCGCTGCACGGCAAAAGCGCATAAAAATCATGGGAATGTTACTCAGTTGGATATTACTAGTCTGCAAAAGACAAACAAAAAATACAATTTAAATTAAAAAAAAAAAGACCGAAGAAACATCACTAGCGGGGTCTACGCATCAAATTAAGTCAAAACTTCTGTTGTGTTGAAAATGTTGCACAAGTAATAACACATGCCAACTGTAAGCACACAACAATGTTCTATCACCATTACATGCACTGCAGTTCTCGAGTGCCTATCTTACTTGATCAAAACGAAAACGTCTAACTAACACTGCTGAAGAAGATGCTGCTGATGGCTTTGCTGAACAGGCTGTAAGGA